AGTCCGGCCGTACTTATGGCGGCGGGAAAGACCGGGCGCGTATTCGGAATAAAGATTAGCGCCTCCATTAGAGGCCGGCCTGTGTCCAGGGCGACCGAGTCGCTCTTCTCTCCGGGAGGCGCTTAATGCCAGGTCGGGCCGGGCAGGTCGCAAAACTGTTAAACCCGAGTTTAATCCGACTTTAATCCGGAAGTCGAGAGATTAACGCGATGTTTAGCAACTTTCGAGGCCCCCAAGGACCCGATTCGGCCTTTTCCGGAGATACGGGAACATGGAACTGAAATTCCCCCGCATTGAAGTCACCATCGCGTTCGACGTCGCCGGTGATATAGGAACGAATAAATTTATATATTTATTTACCAATTATTTAAGTACCAATCGCCTTTGATTTCCCGGGGTATCTCACTTGAAAATCAGGGAAAATGATTTGCCTCCTCGAGAACCGATTAACTTCGATTTAAAATGATAAACGGTGCGATTCGATGACAAGCTCGGCTTTAATATCAATATTTCTCAGGGATTTATGTTCACGAATCCCCGAGAGATTACGATAATTGAAATTCATGATTTACTAGGTGAATAACCCCGTCGTGTTTTCCCGACACGTGGTAGGTTTCCACGTGGTCGGATTTGATAAGCGAGAAATCGTCGATTCCAGCCAGGTGGGGGATTTTAAATCCGTCGGGGATCCCCGCAGACCGGTCTGACAAGCTGACGGATCAGGTGGTAACGTCTCTCGCGATTTGCATAACCTGATGATAGCGCGATAATAGGCGAGGATCGCCGCCCCAGTTCCGCAGATTTCGCGGGAAAACTCCCGGGATTCTCGGGAGGGAATTGACTCACCAATTCGCCGCTCATTTTTCAACCGATGACGAGGCGTTTAAGACGCTCTCGCGTTTTGCGCGCGTTCCGCTCGTCATCGTTTAAGCCGCGATACCGCGCGGAAAGTGCGCGAGCACGTGCGTCTGACGTCAGTCGCGACGAGTCCCTTTTTTTGTCGCCTTTTCTTTATCATTTTACCCCGACGTCTCAAAGAAGGAACTACCTGTCGCGTGAACTTGACATTCCCGAATTATGGTTTCTTAACGCCGAATCGTAATCGACTTGTGATCGGTGCAGTTAAATCGACCTGTATACCGCATATACGCCTGAGTTAAAACTGCACAGATTTATCGATTATGTTTATATATATATATATATATATTTATATAGAATGACCCTTTCATATCACCTTAATTCGGTGATAACGATTTTCTCCTACCTTGAAGAGCGCCTAGACGATGATCGTGACGGTCGTCACGTATCATCGCGAGTCCGTCGTGGCATGAAAATTCTCAATGACATCTAAGCCTCTCTAAACGCCGTAAATGGAGAGGAAAATGTAAAATCATCGGAGGAAATTTAGGATAAAATTTTCTGGCAATCGTTTGTCAAATGGGAAAAAATAGATACATTTTTTCCCAACCGACTTTTGTTCTAACCGTGCTCGACCTCGAGTTATTACAGGATGACGTTCTCGCCGTCTCTCTGGGAGGAATTTAAAGGCCAATCTTAAAAGCGACGTCCCCGGTAGACGAATGCTAGACGTTCGAGAAATTATGAAACTTCGACATCCTCATTAGCGGGATAATCACGGACGATCGCCGCGCACGTAAGCTCGCAACTTCTCGCGGCGCTCCAAACGTCGTCCAGTGTCTCGTGTTAAAATGACAAATTCATATTTCCATCCCGCGATTTATCTCCCGACTTAATCGAGAGGATTTCTGCCACGAGTGCCTGCACTTGTGTCGTCTTCGAGCCGACAAGATTCCTGGCAAATTCCCGCCGTCGAAATTCCCGGCAACTTCTGGCCGTCGAAGTTCCTGGCAACTTCCGGACGTCGAAATTCCTGGCAACTTCCGGACGTCGAAATTCCTGGCAACCCTTGGACGTCGAAATTCTTGGCAACTTCAAGACATCGAAATTCCTGGCAACCTTTAGACGTCGAAAATCCTGGAATTTTTTCTTCGTGACACGTCTCACCGGGGAAAGTTCTAATTGTAAAATACGCACGACCGCGTGAATGGCCGTGCGTACTTTCCCAATGAACATGGAATACTTTATGAATGACTCTCAGCGGAAGTCGCTACTTACGAGATGCACCTGTGAACCTGTACCTCCCTCCTAATCCGTCGATGCACTAGATTGAAAATTTCCCCACAAAGGGGTGAAAACGTTCGATGAAATCTCGTCCTCTGGTACTTCCCAGCCTACCTGGAGGACTTTATCAATGAACCAGGGAACAAGGAGGTCCGAGTCCTCGTGAATGGGCCTCGTCGGTTCCTCGTCTGCGTCCCGAAACTTCCCTGACGAAAGTGCGAGGAGCTTCCCGGAAATGCACCGGGGCACGCGTACTTCCCCAGGGTACCTGAGGAAATACTGGGTCCGCACCTATTCCCGAATTGAGCAATGCACTTTTTCCCCGAATCCAGGAATAATTGTGCCGGCGCACCTGAACTCGTCCAAGCTGCATAATCCTCGAAATCCGATTCCGGAAAAAATGTCGTGGGCCAATTAAAGCGGTACTTTACCGTGATCCCTTCGTCGGTGCGACCGTGTAAACGTGACTTACCAATTACACTTTGGCCCTCACCCCCGAATTCTGCAATTCGACCGCGACTTGCTTAGAGTAACTTCATCACCGAGGCCTTATCAAGTGATAAGAAGGTTTCGCCACAGGAAGCCGCCATGCAAACCGAATGCCAAACACTCCCCCAAACCGTTTAAACCTCGGTTAATCCTGGGAAGGGGTTGACACGGGATTAGCCTGACTCAAAGGGCCCGCAAAATCGGTCGGTGCGTTCACGAAGAGTTAATCGGATCCCTACCACTTAGTGGGGATATAATCATTTCCTTGGAAAAAATTTAGAGCGAGATCTCTCGAGATTTATGGATCTACTAGGACGAACCCGGCCGTCAATATACAATATCTGGGCTGTACAGAAAAATCCAAGCTGGAGGTAGTCACATCACAATGGATAAGCTCTTACTCCTGAATTAGCGCCAAAAGGGCCCTTCGCGCCCTTCTAAAATTGTTATAAAATTATAATGCACGTAATATAAAATTAATACTCTTATTAAAATCATTTTACTACACACGTGTGTACTAAATTTATAACACCTGTTATATATTTTATTTGAAACTGTGTTATAAAATGAGAAATGTCTGAATAAAACTTCCATCAAAAATGTTATAAAATTCGGGTAATTTTGTTTAACAGTGTGATCATCACGAAAACGCTACGGCACCATCCGTGAACCCCGTCTTTGGTTTCTCTCTCTTTTTTTCTCCTCTCCCACCTCTCCTTCTGAGACCTCCTGGAGGAGAGGGAAGCGATCGTAGGCGTGTTCCAGAATGCCCGGAAGTTCCGGAAACCGGGATCCTTCCTGGGATCGCTAACGTGTCAAGACCGGCGAATCCGGAACTTCGTGACACGGAAACCCAAAAACCCGAGATCGAGTCACGTGGGTTTCGATTTCGACATCGACGTGACGACGCAATCCACAGGACATTCCTATCGAATTCCTTCCCACACGGTTAAAAAAAATTCCCTGATTTTTACAACACTTTTCACGGAAGTTCGGTTCACAAATGCTATACTAATTTTGCAACATAATTTCAAATAAAATCTATAACATGTGTTAGAAATTTAGTACGCGTCTATGTAAGCACTTAAAGGAGATGAATTTCTGGACGAATTAATTTTGATGACGATCCTCCGGAATTCGAAATACCACATCCCACGCGTGTATCTTCCCACGCACGCATTTTCGCGTGCAATCTGCTCCCCGACCGTCAAATTCTCGGATTTCCGATACAGTTACGCCCGGAAGTCGGGAGAGGAGATCGTGTCGTCACATCGTCGCCGTCATCGCGTCGTCTCCGAAGGTGGGCGACGGTGAAAGGATACGTCATCATGGTCACCTCGGTGGGGAAAAATGGTCCCGTTGGAGGGGGTTGGTCAGCGAGTGGGGATGAAAAGTAGGGAAGGGGGGGGGGGAAGATGGTCCATCCGGAGCCCTCCGGGAGATTTCCTCCGGTGGAAACCTCCTTGGGAAACTTCCTCGGGGTCGGATCGGCGCCTCGATTCGCCGAAAGGACCTCTTCCTTTTCTCTCTCTCTCCCCCGAATCTCCATCCTCTCTCTCGAGTGGAAATCTAGCACTGCGCGAACGGGAGTGCGCATCGCGTGCGTCACGTGACGTCACTCCTCGTTGCACCGCGGATAATAATCGGTTACCGCAGATTCATCGAGTGAAGTCATTACTCGACGGCGCCGCGGCACTTTCCGCAGGAAACCCGCACGTCTTCCGGGGAAGCGCCGAATCCGGAAGCGATTTGACTCATTTCGCGGATTTCGGAGCACTGGTTCGCCCTGATAAGAGGTCGCGATAAGCGCCCCCACGATTCCATCTTAAGGGACAAACGGGATTTTTCGATGACTCTGGATGATTATCCGTGATTACGATGAGTTCCTACGAATTTACATGATTTTCGATGATTTTTTATGATCTCGATGATTTTCGATGATTTTTTATGATCTCGATGATTTTCGATGATTTTCACATTTGTCCCGAAGGGATTGCGGAGCCTCGCGGTGACTTGCACGTGTCGCGAGGAAGCGCCTTATAAAACATTGACGTAATGATTCAGCAATGAACCGTCTCGAGCTACGTCACCGGCTCGGCGTGTCCCTTGATTTTTCTAGCCAGGATGTGTCCAGTTCTAAGGACGAGAGAAAATTGACAAGGACTCCAGAGAATGAGATATCCTAAATCGGATCCAGGGAAAGCGATAAATCCGAGAGATCCCTCGGGATCTCGTAGCTTTCGCCAGGGTGGAAAATTCGAGTTTCCCCGCGCGAGAGTAGCGAGATATGAGAGAAAAGCGGGTACCAAGAACGTGCGTTATCAAACGCACGAGTTGTCCAAGATTTTCCGCGGAGTGATATCGTTTCCACCGGCGGTATCCTCTCTCGTTCCAGGAGTACCCCTCCTCCGAGCTTTCGGAGGGTCAAATCGCGGAGGAGGATCCCGCTCGAGAGGAGGTGGGGAAAAATCTGAAAATCTCTAAGTCGCGTCCAGGTGAGGGGGGAGAAAAGCCGCGCGGACCCCGACCTGTCCAATGGTCCTTGTATCGCGTTTCCCGGAAGAGGCGTGGGGGGTGGGGCGGGGTGGGGCGCGCGTACGCGGCCAGGAGTTATGAATGGGCCGTCTCGGGGGGGTGTCGGCGCGGCAGAGAGGGGTGCGGGCCGGGGTGGGGCCAAAGCGGGGTGCGGGCCACGTGCTTCTCGTCGGCTCTTACAATCGTATATAGGCACCGCTCGGGCGAGCGCCTAGTACCGTACACACAGTCGCTCCGAGCGCACGGGAGACGGACGGAAGAGAGTCCACCTTCCACCTCTCCGTTCCTTCCGCGAGGCGCTCTCGGCCGGCGCGTAACCGGCGCGACGAGGAAAGAGCTAGGCCGTTCACGGCGAGCGGGAGAGAGAGGGAGAGAGCGGGCCGCGGCACCACGCGGGCGCTCGCACCCCGTCCTCAGTCACCTTCTGACACTCGGCCGGGAACGACCTCCGAGGGTCGCATCGCGCATCGGGAGGAACCCGCATCGCGAGGAGGAGACCCGCGACCTCCTCCGCGGCTACCGGCACGAGGGGCACCCTCGCCGCGGGGTATATAAGGCCGCTCCGCGGTGTGCCGGGACCAGTGACAAGTGGATCGGCCACGTGCTCGGACCTCGCCGACGAGGTGGTGCGGTGACCCAGTGACCAGCGACGACCTCGACCCCCGACCGCCGGGATGGCCGGCCGGAGCGAGGACCCACTCGTGACCATGGAGGCCATTCTTGCGCGGGACCAGCGCACCACCGCGCACCACCGCGTCTCCGAAAGGAGGCCCGACCGATCCGCCGGCCCCGCCCCCGCCCCCGCACCCAGGACCCAGACCTGCGCGCGCAACCGCAGGACCGACTTCGTCGCGGTCACCGGCTGTGATCCTACCCTCGCGAGACGGAGCCCCGTCTCCGGCATCAGGGGCATCGCCGCATGCAGCAACAGCAACACGTGGCTCAGTAAGTCGACGCGACGCCGCTACCCACCCTCGCCGCCTCCTCGGTTACGTATTTAGGTTCGAGCCAAAGGACTCGTTACGAGGATCGAAGGAGGACCCCTCGGGACGACGGGAGGGTTATCGCGTCGATGGACTCGCTATGGTGGAGACGACAGGCTTTGTCGCCCCAAAGAGCGAGTTATCGCGGAAAAAACCCACTTTGCCAAAGAACCCCCTATGTACGGTTTCGAACTTACGGGCTGACACTTGAGAATCTCTCGAATAGGTTGCGCTGGGGTGATGTAGGAGCGATTTAGTTCGTGGGGGGATGATCTCGGATTTGGCCGCGTTTCTTTGGGGGTGATTTTTATAAAGTAGAAGATTGACTCCGGGGTTGGGAAAATAGGGTAATTGAGAAACCGAGGAGGGGCGCTTTTATCGCACCTTGATCCCCGATCTTCTAGGGTGGAGGCGGGAAAAGTATGGCGATTTCGACTCGGTGGGAATCGCTGTCAATGCCAATGACGCCCGTCAACGGGAACGCTCCTTAGCTTCATTAATCTTCGCTCGAACGTCACCTTGTCGTGCTAATTCCGATCGTGTCGTCGACATTTGTCGGCTCCCTCTGAGTTAATGCGGAAGGCCTTCGGGGAAGCGTTAACGAGGAGAAAAATCCCGGCGATTGGATCGGAAAAAAGAAAATGTCCGCCGGTTGCAGAAAGGGCCCTGAAATTCCGCGAACGGTCGATCGGGGATTGTCGATTTCCGAAATTCTGCCACGACTTCTCCTCAGGAGAAGTCGTGGAATGGCACCCGTGTTCGAAATCGCCGACCGACCTCTAATTGGATCCCGATATCCGAAATCCCTGGGCATTATCGAGTCGCCGGTCGGGCTTTAATCGACTAACAATTACTCGTAAATCGGCGCCAATTCGGATTACGACCTGCGAGTGAAATTCCGCACCTTGGAGCGTTTCCCGCCGATAAACGAGCGCTCGGCGCGTTAACTCTGGGATTTCGATTTTTCGACCTACAATTTTGGGTTTTGGATTCGTCCCCTCTTCTTCTGGAGTCCGGAAAGATTTTCTCGGGATTTGTGGACGCGATTTTGAGTTCCCTGAATTTTTTCGGGATTTTTCTCTCGGATAAACGAGGGCCTCTTTAACCCCCAGCGCTGCTTCGATGAATTCCCTCAATTTTTCATTTTGCATCTTTCCCCCCTCCCCCCCCTGTTATCTAGAGATCGGAAATATTTTCCTCGGGTCTGGGGATGTATTTGGGGGTAGCATGAATTTTTTGGGATTTTTCTTCCGGAAATACGAGAGGAGAGCCTCCTCACCGCCCGGAGCGCCGCTTCAAAGAGCCACTTCTCGCGCTGACGCGGTAAGCGCGAGGTGTATTACCGGAGTAACGAGGTACCTTGATTTACTACACCGTAACGGCACACGCTGTACTCGAACTAATTGCTGCCGACTTACTTCGACGGGATTTTTAACGATCGCGGCCCGACTGGCGCTCTCGCCGGATTAATTTCGGTCGGAAGTCACCCCCTTCTCCCCACTTCTGGTCCTTTAATCGACTTCACACATCGAGGCGCGAAATTAACTTAACCCTCCCCTTTGATGTACCTCTTGGGAGGCGTCATTAAAAGTTAACTTTTTAACCCTTTCATTGATAGGACCCTCCCTCTCGGGACACCTCTTTGAGCAACAGGTGGTTGCACCTCCGACTCGACGCCGGGAATTCTCTTCCACCCCTTTTCACGTCCTTATGTAATTACTTCTCTTGAGAATTCTCAATGAAAGAGATTTCGAATTTTCCTTGAAAATTAAAAAATTAAAAAATTAGCGAGATTAATTTCTCCACATTTAACGTCGTTGATAATTCCGTTGCTCTTCGTGATAGTCGAGTAAGGTTTGCCAAATCCTTGTTTGTAATTTTTGCGAACAAGATTTGGAGCTTTCCTTGGAGATAAAAAAAATCGAGGGACATTAATTTCTCCATATTTATGGTCGTTCATAATTTTGTGGCTTCGTGGAGGTTGAGCGAGAGTATCGGGGGACGGAAGGTGACGGGCTTGATAAGATGATAGGAGCGGGATCGGTAGCGGCCTATAATAAATCGGCGAGCGCGCGGTACGCTCGAGCCGCGACCTACCGCAACGCGATTCGCGGAGGACGGTCCGGACGCGGAGGGGGCGGACGGGGGAGGGTATAATGGGGTATAATTGTCGCGGAGCAATGCGAGGACAGTGCACCATTACTGCATTTTTCCCGGCGGTCTTCTTGCGGACGCGGCTTGCGGCGCAACTTACTTTTTTACCGCTGGCCAAGGGTTCCCAGGAATTTCGCTGGAACGCCGCGACCGCCGTCGACGAAGCGCCGCGACGTCGGCGAGCCGCGCGGATCCGTGGGGTAGGTCGGCGACGACGCAGGGGGTCGAATCGCGTTCCCTAATCTTTCAAGTTCCCCGCGTATCAGAATTGGCGCACCATATGCACCGTGCACCGTGCGTGCAATTGGTGCATCATATGCACCATATGTGCACAATTGTCCCAGGTAAATTGCGCACCGTAGAAATAAAATCCTCATCCCCTGGGGACTATTTTGGAAAAGTCTCGGAGATAGTCGCCCATTCGGACCGGCGATGAAGAAAATCGATCTTGGCCCTGGTCAAGGTGTAGGTCCACTAAAAGTGCACATAGTGCCCCGAATTAGAGCAGGGCCGAATTTGGCGATTACCAATTCGGGGGAGGACTCGGATTCACCAGGAGGCCGTCAAGGAGCTTTTAGGAATAACTCGAAGGGAGGTTTTTCTTCCGCTCGGGCGAGCAGCTCCCCTCGTTAGTGAAATCGATCGCGATGGAAGGTACAATTCCCACTTTTTTTTTCTTTTTTTTTTCACGCGACGGAAATAATCACTCTGATAAGAAAGCCCATAACGAAAAAGGGAGGCGACGAGTCGAGGCGTCTCGGCAACCGTGAATCCTGGGGGTCTATGTCGGGAGAACAAATGTCAATGGACGCCTAGCTTGATCGGTAGCGATTTTTTTCTCTTCTTTTTTTTTTCTTTTACAGGCTGTCAGACTTTTTCTTTTTGCCAGCCAATTTTAGCGAACCTCTCCTCGTGTCGATACCTTAGATTAAAGTACGAGCTCCTCCCAGCCTTCCGTCGCGACATCGACGGACGCCTCAAGAGTAACTGCTCTCTCTTAATATGCGCAAAGGCGTCGCGACGTCTCGGCTCTGCCACCTCCGTCGCGATGCTCATCTCCGGAGAGCACGTGCCTCTCGACGCACTCTCCGTAAATTCGTGGGCGGCACTTCCCCGACTTCCGCGGCTACCCCTGCCAGCTCTCCTTGCTTCATCGAGGACTCGTCTTACAATTAATTGGATTTATCTCATTAATTTTTGTGAATCCTTAACCCTTTCCCCGTCAACCAAAAAAATCGTACCTAAGCGACACTCCGCTGTTTGGCACTGAAAGGGTTAAATTCTGGACTGGCAGCGAGAGAACAGTCGGAGACTGTTGATTCCGTGATTTTTGATATCCTGTTATCGTCCATTTTAAGGTCCTAATTTTAAGTCCAAAAGGAGGTGAGGATCAAAGCGAAGTCGAGATAAGGAAATAAAGGACGCGAAGGAAATAGCCTTGCGTGTCCGGAGATGCCGCGCGCAGCCCTCGTCGTCCGGCTGCGACCGACCCGGCGCGGAATCGCCGCTCGCGGTTGTCGCTCGGCCGTGGCCCCTCATCAAGGCTCGTAACTCCCGAAATAATGCGACGACCGGTGGACCGAATGCGCAAACGGGAGCCAAACTGCCGGATGATCATAAGATCGGCTCCCCGTGATCGGGGGTTCCGCTCCGTTTCGGAGGAAAACGGCTCCGCAGCGGTTTTTCGCCCTCCTTTGGGCCCGGAAGAGGTCGCCGAAGACACCATTCCTCTTTCCCTCTTTCTCCGTGTCTTCTTCTTGTTTTTGCTTATCTCGAAGCCAAGATGCATATGCCATTCTTTCAATCAGTGCATTCTTTTATCAGTGCATTTCTTCGATTAGTGCATTTTTTTCGGTTATTGCATTTCTACGATTAGTGCATTTCTTTCGAAGAATGCATTTTTTCGGCCAATGCACTTTTCAGCCAATGTATTCCTCCGGCCGATTTTCTTTTTTTTTTTCCAATATTCCTGTTCCATGGTTCTCCGTTACTCTCCTTGTTTCTTTCTTCCTTCTTTAATGTTGATTTGCGAATTAACGAAGAATTTGTTTTTATTTCTCTTCCAGGGCTAGGCAGTCTCCTGGTGACATTGCTGGTTGTGTCGGTGCGCGGCGCCCCGACGATGACGCTCGAGGACAGACGACTCAGTTCACCCCCGAAGTGGGTGAACCCCTGCGGCCTTGCCGCCGAGGACTTCGACGGCGACCTGGACGTGGTCCAGCTGAGGGACGAGCAGCTCCTCACGCAGGTCGTCGTCCAGGCGAAGACGGCGCTGATGCACGCCCAGCTCTTTCGCGACGATTACGTGAGTATCGGCCGTAATATGCAAAGTCGATCGATCGATCGATCGGGCCCCTCCCCGTCCACGGCTAAATTCCGCTTCCCGACTCTTCGGCGATTAATACCGCTCTCCGCACGGAACAAACGCTCCACTTATCAGCGGTCCCCGAACTCGGGCAAACGGGTCATTTCCAAAAGGAACGCCGAAAGACGCGACGGAGTTCCTCGATTTGCTCCAGAAATCATGTCTCGATGCACGGTGTATCTCTTTTTTTCTTTTTTCTTTTTTCTTTTTTCAAATACAAAGTCAATCGACCTAACCTCTATTCTTGGATCTTTATTAGAATTGATTAAAAAGTTAATTCAGATTTTTCTCAATTATCCGTGGAAAAGTCGAGGGGAGAGACAAGATGGCCCGGTTGCGAGGCACGGAGGGGCGTCGTAGCGGGCTCGATAGTCGAACTCACGGATCAATGCTCGTCAATGAAACGATAATTACTAGCGTGGGCGGGTAGAGGGGCGTCGGCGGGTGGGGGGAGGTACTCGGGCGGAAGGCAGTTATGGCTGTACTTCCGGTGAGACGGACATCGGTCGTCGCGCGAAGAGGCTCGCCGTTCCTCTCGGAATGTCGATCTCGGAGTTGGCAGGCGTGCAATTCCTGGATAGCTGGACGTCCGAATTCCTGGATTTCTCGATTTCCCTCCGTATTCCGTTAATTTCCGAATTTTCCCGGGTCCGGATTAATGTGTTCCCTCTCCGGGGTCGACCTCCCTCCACCGGAAGTCGGTGACGTCTTCCAACGGCGTGAGGTCGACTTTCTCGGACACACGCTCGCTAATCGCCGGTTCATATCGGCTATGGGACCGACTCGACAGATCGACGCGACGCCCCGCGAATCGATAATCGATCGTCTGATGCGCCGCCGATAGGCCCAGGGTATTCCGGCCGATCGATACGGATCGGACCCGAGTCTTCCAGGTTGCTCCGCGGATTTTAGCTAACCTCTCCGGGAAGAGTAATCCCTAACGTGGTTAATCCAAGGTTTGAACTTCTCGCCCGATAAGAGCTGATAAAAACATGCCCCCTCCACCTTTTTGATAGGCAGAAATCGATCCAAATGCGAAGCGGGAGGTAGAGAGATCCAGGATACTCAGAGGGGTCCGTAAAAAATCCAGGGCGTCAAGGGGGCCCCATGAAGGGCTGCGGTCGAGATCCAACTTCTCCAGGCTCGACCGCAGGGCGCCACGCGTCGCGGCGTCCGGAATTAATTTATCCGCCGAAAGTCGATACATTTCCACGATTTCCGACCCCCATGGTCCTCTCCTCTCCTGGAGGAGAGACCAGCCCCCGGGATAGGGCGGACCTAAGCGTTCTCCGCACTCGTTACATCATCGCCGTGACACTCGATCCCGATGTTGTCGGAGTCAGCGCCGAACTCGATATCCGCTTGGAATCGACTTCGAGGCGAGTGCGAGCGATGCGAGGTGAACGGGGGCCTCCTCGAGGTGGAGGAAAAAAATAGAAAATTTGGGCAAAAATTCGGAAAAATTGGGAAAAAAAATCCCGAAGAGTCGGGAAGTTTGATCGATGGGGGGTGGACAGCGGTGGGCACACCTGCGACCACCTGGATAATGAATTATAATATCATCCGGTGGCGACGCGCGGTCTACTGGACCAGGGACACCGGCGACGCGACGACGCGGCGACGCGACGTCTAGCAGGCGACCTGACAAAACGATCCTTTGGTTTCTACCCAGGAATTGTCACGACTTCGAAGGAAATTTGGGCTCCTCGAAATTAATTCCAGTTTATCGGGGTTAAAAAGAAATTATTCCTTGAACGAAGGAAATCATCCTTCGGTTGTATGGACCTTTTTTCTTTCTCTTCCCGGGGTGGGATCCTCGATCTCGCCGATTTCGATGCGGTTTCCCCGTTTCCGTCCGAATCGCCGACTCGCTCGACTCGGCCGACTCGCGTCTTCGGCGCTGACGAAACGTGTCTTCCTCGAGAGGGGCGTGACGCGCGAGTTCCGGCACGCGCGGAGGCGCGCCTGCGCGCGAGAGCGCGCCCCGGCGTCGAGGGCGCCGCGACGCCCGGCCGCGGCCCCGGCTACGTGACGGAATCGTAAAATATCGGAAGTCGGGGATTCCAATAAATCAGAATCGGAAGCTGCCGCCTCCGGCCGCCCCGCCGCCATTCCGGCGGCCGCGCGCGGCCGGCTTCCCCGCCTGCATACTAAAACGCAGACCGGATACGCACGACGGGCCCCGCTCGGTACCGCTCGCTAAAGGTCGATTTACACACGTACGTCCAGTGTCCGTCCGGTATCCGTGCCGGTCCGACGTTTCGCGACCATTTGCCCCGTACCTCTTTTGCCGGAGGTCCCAGGACGCCGGGAAAATGTCGGTACCACGGATACCGAACGGATACCGAACGTCGAAAAGGTTGCGTTTCGCAATTCCTGGGAATTTTTTGACGTACTAAAACGCAGACCGGATACGCACTACGGGTTCCGCTCGGTAGAGGTCGATTTGCACGCGTACGTCCAGTGTCCGTCCGGTATCCGTGCCGGTCCGACATTTCGCGACCTTTTGCCGGACGTTCTAGGACGCCAGAAAAGTGTCGGTACCACGTATACCGAACGTATACCGAACGTCGCAAAGGTTACGTTTCGTCGTTTCCCGTGAATTTTTGAGAACGCACCGAGAGAGAGAAAGAGAGAGAAAGAGACGCCGAGGCAGCGGCGATCTCTCACCGAGGCCGTTGTACCGAATTTTTATAACTTCTAATAACCGGTGGAGAGCGACCAATGGGACGAGGAGGAGAGACCCGGGGGGAGGGGAGAGCCTAATTGATTTTGACGGGTCCGCCGACTCCAGCCTACTTCCTGCCGGTTTTCAGTCCAGTTTTACGATTATTCCAGGCCTCGGCGCGGCCGCCGAGAGATCTTTTTACGAGGCACAAAAGAGCCGAGCCGCGATTCGTCCGTCGTCGCCAGTGGTTGTTAGCGACAATCCTGCTCCTTCGCGCTCTCTCTTTTTTTTTTTTTTTCCCCAGGCGCAGGACGACCGGAGAGGCGGAGAGTCCTCGCGGGATCCTTTTCCGATTTTTTCTCGCCCCCCCCCATTTTTTTTTGAACTTTCCCTCGATTTTCTCTTTCGGGCCCCTCGCCTCGCTTTTGCGGTTCTTCTCTCGCGAGAAATCTCCGGGAGGTGCGGCGGAGTCGCACGCGGAAATCGGCCCGCGATTAGAATCTACGAATGAGGGGGGCCCCATAAAACGCGGGGTCCCATGGGGACCGAACTGATGTATTTATTAGGCGGGCCCCGGTGACGGGAAATTATCGTAAAGTCGCCTTTAATTACCCGGGCGGTTCCCTTTCAGGCCCCTCGCTCGGATTTCGTTCGGCCGCGGAGTTTGGGCCGGACGTGACGCAACGTGGGCCCTATGCCCACTTTTCGGCTACACAAAGTTGATACCTTCCCTTTCTCAGCCTCTCGAGAATCGAAGGTATCGGGGGGGCCCCTTTTCGGGGCCTAAGGCCCCGATTAGCTCTCCCTGATTTTTCGATTCGAAATTAAACCTCGGATTCTTTAACGACTCTTTTCTCCCCTCGATGTATCGTTAAATTGTTATAATTAAATCCTTCTTTGGTACCATTGAATGAAATATTTCTTTGGCACCATAGGATGAAATATTTCTTTTTCTCGGTGCACATGATAGGGAGCCCCGTTTGACAGCTGTCATCCCGCGACCACGTGGTTTTGGCGTAGCGCGCGATTCCCGCGAATCGCGACTCCCACGCCTCTTCAGGGTCGTTTAGTCACCGATTAGCCGGGTCGTAGTGGCGAGATTCGATCCAGGATTCCGACTAAACCACGATCTGGTTCCCGGTACTCCTCGGGGAGTGAGTAAGCGAGGGGAGTTCGGAGCTCTTTACCACGCATGGTGACTTTTCGGGAACACCGTGGTCACGTGGGCGCCTCTTTACCAGGAACGGGAGCAGAGCTTCCCAGAAAAGTTGACAAGCCGAATGTACATAGACCGTATATAGGAAATGGGTTCTAATGAGTCACTACGAGGTCGAAATCGCGAAATCGAGCCGAGGCGACTCTTCAGGGTCGGAAGGAGTCTCTCTGGGAAAAGTCGATCGGGTACAATTTTCTAAATCATTAGATTTTTCCCGATCAATAGTGTAGGATATTTCTAGAAGAACAATATCAGAATTTTCTAGTCACGTTGACATTTTATTTATTTTTTTCCCGATGGTATATAATTATCTCACAGCTCGTAGGGGCAATGGGGCATTTTTTTTCTCTGTGCTGGACAGACTGGGACTTTTTTAGGGAGGTCTCAAGATGGTCAAAACGGGACCAAGACGGGGGAAAGGTCCTGGCCGTGGACGAGGGACCGTGGGAAGGATATTCGGGACTCCTCAGGAGTCGACGTCTAAATCATAGGCCCCGTTTTTACCTCCTGTTGCAGATCAAGCGGACGTTTAACATTGACTTTGCCGATCTGCACTCGACGTGGAAGGACAACCACTACGACTGGTTGCCGGGTCCTAAGGAGATTCCCAAGCAGCTCGGCGAACAGCTGGACAAGGAGTTCCTCGGCAAGTTGGAGGTTGGTACCGAGACTCGGTCAAAAAACCTTCTTCTACCTTCCCTCCACCTTGCGCCCGATTTCTTCATTCCCCAATGACATTTTTAACGCGAAGTAGGACTTTTCGTTAAATTCAACATTTCGTACATATTTTTAAAAATTACCCAACACGTGCCGTCGATACTTGAATTCTCACCACGTGGGATTTTTTTACCTCGATGCAAAATCCCCATCGCTTGCGCCGATCGGTTGTCGAGGTCAGTTTCTCTGCAGTCGCGATAGGTCTTGTCACGTTTCCTTAGATGTGATTATAAAGTGGATTTTTCTCCTGGGGTGAAAAAATTGCCAAATTAAATTCGACTTGTTTGATGTCTCACGAGTCAATTGTCCTTTCAGCTCGACACGGCGCTGTTGGACGCGTACGAGTACATGCAGAGGTACGCGGTGGGCCTGGAACAGATCGTCTGGGACCAGGAGGACCATCGCCTCGAGTTTCGCAAGCAGTTCAAGGACACCGAGTTCAAGCTGCGAACGGTAAGCGATCAGGATCGGAAATTCAACCCCTGGGATGATCCCGGCCTCCATTTCGCGACTCCTCGTCGCCCGAGGAGAGGCCGATCGGTTCGGGGAGAAAAAGGGCCGAGGGAAAAAAGAATCCGGACCGACTTTCACAATGCACTGCCGGTCAACAATTAGCCTGAATTATGAGTTGGCGCGCGGGCGCGCAATAAAGAACGTTTTGCCGGGTTTACGACTGCTTTACGTAAAGCGGCTTGTCGCCCCGCGACAAAAAGCCCGACTTTATCGCCGCTCCGAGAGAAGTGCAACTCTCGCCGGCCGATTCGAGGTTCGGTCGACCGCGACCCCGGTCTTCCTTCGATTTCGATTTTTTTAATTCATTTTATACCACTGAGGGTAAATTGTACTCGGAGTACATGACGTAAAGGGTTAACGTTCGACCGGTTGAGCATGCACCCTGGGGAAAAAAAATACAATTTAATAACGCCTTTCCGACAGCTCGATGAAATGAATTCTGTAATTTTCTACAATTGCGCCTTTGATTAGAAATGAAATTTCATGAACACCCAGTTCGAAGAAAAGTTTCACGAACGATTGACCCCTGAAATGCTACCTTGACATCCCCTTAAAATCATATTTGATATCGCGTTATCAATTTTGCTCCCGAGGTAACGCGGGTGTGAAATTGAATCGCAAGATTCTGTGAGTACGTTTCCCCCACCGTAGGTGCCATCGAGCGGGCGATTCGAAATAAAGCGAAGTCCTTTCGCCTCTCGTTGCAGGTGCTCTGCGAGCTGCAGGTCGCCCTGGTGGAGCGTGGGGTGACGCCGCGGCCCGACGTGACCCGGGACGCGATGTCCAGCGAGTACCGGGCGATGTCGGAGTCCGCGACCTACCGGAACCTGCGAGACTGGCTGATCTTCCGGGACTACATGAACGGTCTGGAGTACGTAGTGCAGGTGTTCGAGCACCTGCGCCGAGGCCTGGAGTCCTGAGGGCGGCAAGGCGGAAGCCGGCGCAGGACAACCAGGCGACGACTCGCCCACCTGAGGAAGCCGGAGCCCCGACTGGAGGCCCTCCTAGCCTGAGGAAAAATAAGCCCCAAGGGCCATCCCCCAGGAGGCGACCCCCCGGAGACGCGTCCGTCGAGGAGCCGACGCCGTCCGGAAGGGGGGTTGACGGAGGGGGGCCGAGGGCCCACAGATTCGGGGAGCAGCGCGAGGAAGAGAGTCGTTCGCCGAGGAGCCCCACACCTGCCGCAGGCTTTCGCCGCCCAATTTCCGCACCTGCGGCCGCGACCACTTCCCGCGGCCCAGGTGCACCCCGGTGCACCCGATGCACCCGATGCACCGTCAAGGAGGAGGAGCGAGATCGACGTGGGAAGTGGACGTTGAGGACACCCTGGAGGACCCGCGTCCAGGACGGGACCCCTGCCTGGAAGAGGACCGAGACCTAGTGGACCGACCCCCACTGGTTGGAACCCACCTGGCCGACGTATAGTGCAGGCTCCTGGACGCCCGCGGTCCAGGACGCGGCCGGGACGGGATGCAGCGGGACTCTGAGTGCACCAGGACACAGTGCACCTGACTCAGGATCGCACGAACACACCCCGGTATCTTCGGAGCTGCGACGGACGCTCTGCATGCCGTACTCGGATTAGTCGTGCTTCGTCGTCCTTTATCCTATCGATAGGACCTTTTAATTTCCCCCTTTCTCTCTCTCGACTTTCCCACTTTCTCAACATTTTCCCGACGAGTGCGAGTCGAGATAAGAATCCCGGAGGAAGGACGAGCCCAGGGACGAGCGGAATTGGGGTAGGTCCTTGGTCTCTGATCATTTTGATATCTTCCCTCGACTTGGAAGACCCGGACCAGGATTTCGCTCGTCGCTGGATGGACCTTGAAGACCTCCTTTGAGGTTCCCTCCCAGGATGTGGCTTCTAAGGACGAGGGACGGGGAGGATGGCGACGACCCTAGGTCGCGTTGACGATGAACACCGAACTATATCGCACGATGTTGATTAGAATCCGGGAACAGGGAAGAGGAGCGAGTTCTTCGATGACAGGTGGAGTGGGATCGATCGTTCCTTCCATCGATCAATAATCAGCGATATTTCGATCGATGGGGGGGGGGATCCGAGGCCCATTCCGCACCTCCCAATGGCCCACTTGGACTTCGAGGTTACTGTCTGGGGAATGATCCCGAATTACCCTCCACCCTCGTCCTAGTTGCACCCCTGGTCACCTCCAGGTCCCCACGTCCCGGAAAGTGCCACGTCCTGGGGAACCGTCTGTACTTTTTATTTCCCCCCGTCATTTTATACGCGAACTATGGAAATAGATAGAGAGAGAACCGGAGGGCGCGTGTATGTAGGAGCGAGTGAGAGAGTGAAAATCGGCGAGCTTTCCCGCCGAGAGTTAGAGAAGAGAGACGCAGAAGGCAGAGCCCCTGAAGAGGAGAAGACGTCACGACGCGTTGTCGTACGTGAACGAGAATTTTTCTCGGGGTACCAGACGACCCCGGTGAACGAGAATCTAGGTGAAAATTACGCAGTATTCGCCCCCCTCCCGCCCCCGAAATTATCGGGGGCGAAGGGGGGCTCGAGGGTGCGAGGAGGTACACGCACGTCGCCTGTTTAAGAAACGTACGAGAATCTTTCGAGAGATCCCTACCCCCCCCAATCTCTCTCCTATAATGCGATATTTATTAATTAACTATATAATATTATATTCGTATTTATTCAGATTATTTATTTTATTTTTGTAAAGATTTTACACACACGCGCGAGCTATATTTAAAAGGAAAGGAAAAATGGATACGTTGACGCCGTCACTGGGGGGATTGCCTCCCCCCTCGGGATGCGACGACGAAAACCCCGCAAAATCAACCCGAAGAGCTAATGGCGTCTTCGGGGGATGCACTTTGCTGCTGCACTTTACCCCGATAACGTCCCATGGATTTTTGACAATTTTATTTTTTAATCATTTCTTTGGACCTTACAGAGGGACCTCGCGTCGCCTCTTCCCTCGTTCTCGTTCAGCTCACCTAGCATGAGAACTAGTCATTTTTAGAATTTAAAAATTTTAGAATTTTAGAACTAGAATTTTAGATTTTGGATTTTTTAATTTTTATCCCAAAATTGGCAGACGCCCCCGCGATTCACTTCCCTAGGGATAAATGAACGAAACTCGGTCGAATTTACCGGATTTCATTTCACCGGTTTGAATTAATTTCATTGATTCTTAATCACTGACTACGCGCATTTTTTATTACTTACTTTTTAATTTCATTTACGTGGGTGTCTGCCGTTGTTAAATGTCGGAAAAAAATGGAAAATGCAGCAGCGAGTGGATCCCGCTCGCCGATCGCGATGTTCCTATTTAATAACCGGATCGACCTATCCGTCCGCGAGGATGGACGCCCTCGGCGTTAATTGTAAATTGTCAATTGTCAATTGTCATTTGTCACTTCCTGCGATCGCTCGTTGGCGCGTTTGCAACGACCCAGGGGCTCGATTCTCGAGTTGATACGGATTCTCGTTGGCGTACCAATAGATCCGCATGAAAACGTTTCGCCATTGTCGCAAGTCGCGTGCATCGTTCAACATTTGAATGTCGCGTAGGAGAATGGTCAATTTGAAAAGTTGATGGGACGAACTCGAGAATCGGGTCTCGGGACGTCCCGCGAAGAGAGAAGGAAATGGCGCCTCCACCGTGGCGAGTCGACTGGGCCCTGACCCGTGAGGACACGACGCGGACCACGACACCGGGTGATCGTTTCACATCGTCTAATGAGATAATTAACGAAGGGTTAAACGGCTCTTCAGGGCCTTCGGAAATATTCGAAGATCAGTCGACTCGCGGCAGTGCGAGGGCCGGTCCAGTTTCGAGCCTTGGGGTCAAGAGGCGATTCCCTGTCCCACCTTGCACGACACGCCATGTCGACGTCACTTAGAGATGCATTGTACATAGACAGATCCGATGATATAGAAGATAAAATATTATATATGTGGATATGTATGTATACGGGCCCCTCCCTTCAGACCGCCCGCTCTGTTGTATCATATTAAACCAAAGACCGTTCAACATGGAACATATTGATTGGCCGCCCTGTCATTCCCAGAGTCCCGCGGATAAATGACAAAGGAAACGTGATAATAGACATTTGAAATCACTGACGGCAGTCTGAGAAATGGGTGGGCGAGGTTTTTCGCGATTTCGGGGGCGCCGATCGATTTGGGCCTTATTGGGCCTTGTTGGGCCTTATTGGGGCCGATCGGGCCCAAGCGAGGTTTCCCATGGCCGAGCTGGAAAGGGTGTCCGCGGCTCGTCGCGGTTGTTTGCGAGGAGACGAGCATTCCGGCTCGGGACTCCGGGGCCCGAGTTCTGTGTCCCTCGCCGCCATGTTTGCCGAGGCTGTTAGCTCGTTGTCATCGCTCGGGGCCCGACTTACTTTCTCATGGCGAGAGGCCGCGGCGCTCATCTCGGCGTCTGTTTGACGTCTCCCCCGGCGCCGCCCCGGGCCCCCTCGGGGCCCACCTGGGCCCCCCGGCCCTGCTAAGGTGTCAATGTTTTGCCTAGCCATTAAGATGGTTAGTCCTCGTTACGTCTACGCGGCTTTCGGCGTCGGGCCCCTCGTCCGGCGACGTCCACCTCGCCCCCGGAAGGCGCCGCCAGCTCGACAGGTGTAAGGCCCATTTCCTGCATCCAATAAACAGCGGGCCCCTCCAATCCGAACGCTCAAATTACTCCGTCCAATTCCAGAACCCCCAGTTCCCCATAACCTGTATAAATCCGACGGAAGTAAAAAATGGCATGAATTCATCCTGGGCCCAAGGGCCCATGAGCAGCGCACCGTTCCAATATCCGCGAAGAATTCCCAATAAAAGTCGCACAAAGGCGGCGAAATCCGAATGTAGCGCACGTGAATCCGCCCTGGGCCCATTGGAGCCGAGGGCCCCGGTCGGAGGCGCCACTCGGTTTTGGGCCCAGGCCGAGATCGGATCTCCGCGGCGGCAGAGGCATGAATGAGTCGTGAGAAGGCCCCGAGAAGAAAAAACTCCAGGCTGGGCCCATGAATGGGTGGGAAAAGCCGCGATCCGCGTCGCGTTCCCGCCGGACCCGCGTCGGCGTCTTGCGGCGGGCGTAGGGCCCCGGAGGGGGGCTGGGGGGAGGGCCCAATATTCCTGCCGAGGACGGATGATCCTTTCGGCGAGGCTCTCCAGTCCTGGGAGCGGCCCGAATCGAGGGAGTCTAGGCCCCGTGGCCGCGGGCGAATACTTCGGCTCCTTTCAGCCCCGGAGAAAATAGGAGGCCCCGTTGTAATTAGGACAGTGCGCCCGCATGGCTCGTGGACGGAGTCCCGGTCCTCCCTCGGGATCCCCGAGGCGGTTGCGGTTATCCCGGCCACATTCCCGGTGACCCCAGGGCCGCCGGGCCCGATATCGCGCGCTGGAGACAAAGGGCCCATTTGGGCCCGATGGACTCAATGGGTCCAGGGGACCTCCGCGACTCGCGAGTGTCATCCGGTATGTCGGGAATGCGGGAGCTGGGAGGGGGTGGGCCTTTCGGCGGCGGGGGTGGAGGTAGGGCCCAAAGGGTGGAACGAATTTGGGCGATCCCCGGGATAGGGTTACGGCCCGGAGAGCAGGTCAGGATGATTTGGGCGTCCCTGAAGAGCGAGCGTGGCACACGGTCCTCTCCTTTAACTGCTGCTGATTGAGGGGCGGTGCCGCGCTAATAGGTCCCATCCCGCGTCCCTCTGCCGGGACACGCTCTAAAACATCCGGGATTTATTTCACGACTAATTTCGCCTTGTTAGCCGCCAGTACCGGAGCCGCCAAGGGGGAGGCGGGACGAGAAGGATCGCTCTTGTTTGCTCGTACAAGGTCCCCGGGTCCTCGCGGGGCCCGGGCCTCTTGGGCCCCGGACCCAACTCCTCTTTTTACCCGGCCTCGGAAACGTGGCGCTAAACCGCCTTCCTCCTCGCCGATGTCGGGCCTCCGCAAACGCGGAGCGGCACTTCCCCCGGAATAAAGTGGGCCCAAATTGTCCCGGCTTCGATAAGGCCCCGATCGGATCGCCAACGAGACCTCATTTCGAGCCACTAGTTTCTGGTGATCCTTCCAGGTGGACTCCGATGAAGTCCATGGACCCAGGGCGGTTGGGACTTCCCGGGCCCGCGCTGGGGGCCCCGGGCTCGCCCGGCTCAGGGTTCAGAGAAAAGCACGATCCGTTCGTGGGAACGGGCGAACCTCTTCCGAGAAGAGCCTCGCGGACGAGACCTCTCGGCCGGGGGGCGCGAGAGGGAGATATGGAAATTCGGCCGTTCGGCGACATCGGGGCCCGCTCGGGGCCCGACTGCCGGTCAGCTGGGAGGCGCGAGATAGCCCGCGGAAACACACGAACACTTTTAACGGCTAATTGCCGCCGATAGGGACGACCGCGGAGAACTGGATATGCCTACGAGGATATATATATACCTCGAGAAGTATCGAGCGAATCGAGAGAGAGGAGCTAATCTTCCGGCGAAATGCATGGGAACGGGGCCCGTTCGGGCCCGAAGAGCACTCGCTCGCTCCTACACGTTCGCGACGACTTTTACGACTTCGCCTGGAAGAAGTCCGAGCGCGGTCAAGGAGAGATCGGCCGCGATCGCCTCGCTCTCCTCGGGCGAATCACCGAGTCCACCGGGGCCCGGGGGGGCCCCTCGCCCCTGGGTGGGCCCGACCCCCGGGCCCCTGGGGGCTCGCGGCATCGATTTCAGCCTCCGCCTCCATTTCCCGAACACGAATCCAGAACGTTACATCGACGTCACGTCCGATTAATAATTCGCCCGAATTGTGGGCCTTACCTAGAGGGAGGGGGGATAACGAAGCGCGAGGTACATTTAAGTGCGACGGTCCCCCCATGGAGTCTGGATTATATCTCCGGGGCAAGAATAACGATCCCCGGGCGCATCCGCGAGGAATCCCTCGGGAGGAGGTGGGAGGGGGCATTTGGAGGGGGGCCCGGGAGTGCGAGACGGCGAGGTCGCGACATCGTGACCAGCGATGCCCGGGGCCCGCTGATTTACATATTGTCCACCGCTCGGACCCATCGCGCGGGTCAGCTCGTTCTTTTGGAATGCCTGGCGACGGAGGGCGCCGTCCCGCGCCTCGTAATAGCGTCAAGATCCAGACGCCCGGTCCTATCCGGCGCGCCACCAACGTCGATCTCGGTTAGAGGTGCAGAGGCGGCGGGTAATGCATTCTCGTTCCTCAACGGGCCCCGACGAAGCTCCGGCCTCGCGGGGCCCTACCCCCTTCGGAGCAACCCCCGGCCGGGGGTGGCGCCAGTGGGTCAGGGGGTCAGCTGGGCGGCAGGGGGCGACACCAGCTGCGGTCCGTCAATTGGGCCCGAGTGGGCCTGACTGGCCCAGCCAGGTGGACGAGAGTCCTCGGGGCCCGGCAAAGGCGCGGCCGTAAAGCCGATCCTTCACGGTGGATCGAGGCGTTTGCGGCCACTCCCGGGCCGGGTGCCGCGATAATAAACCGGGCAGGTTAAGGGTTCCCGGGGCCCGTCGACGACGTCGGAGCAACGGCACGGCGGGTAACGGTCACCCGACCCCGCACCCTAAATCAATCGGGGCCCGTAAGATCCGGGTTTACGGGGGCCGCTCCCCCCGAGCGAGGACCCCTCGGCTGGCCCTCGGCGAGCCCGGTGGTCCCCGCGGGCCCAGTGGTCTCGGCGGGCCCCGAGCGCGCAGATCACCGCTGGATACGGAAGGGCTCCGCTCCCGCCGGAAGTGGTCCATCTCCGAGGGACGCCGGCCGATCGCGCGTTACCGGGGCCCGAAAAAAGGGCCGCAAAAAAGGCCGGACGGTCCCCGGGCGCGAAAGCGGAGCCGTAACGCTACCGACTCGTGTACGGCAAACCTGGAAAGGGGCCCGGAGGCCCGGCGATGTTATCCGGTGGGGCCCGATCGCGACGGCGACAGGAGCACGAGGCCCATACCGACGCCTTGTTAACATCCGCGAAACGACCGCCAGGAATCCCAAAGAGCTTGTCGCATTAGGGAGCGACCGCGGCCCGGCCCCGGCGGACCCAACCTGTGGGACCGATCGAGAGCGGGCCCGCGGCGCGCGTAAATCTCGGCCGCGATGCGTCATCCTCTTCCTGGGGACCTGGGAAAGGATCCCCGAAATAAAGAGAGGTGCCGGACCCGGGGAGGGGGCCCGAGTGTCGATGCTCTTCTCCCGGTGCCGTGCCGAAAGAGAGACAAAGGAGGTCCACTTTGGGACCGGGATATTTCGCGAGGGTAGGCCCCGGAGGTGAGCGAGACGGAGACCGGTAGGACCGGGGCCCGACCCAAGCATGCAGAGTCGAGGTGAAGAGAGAACGCGTCGGCGGGATGAAACGGGATCACCCGCACGTGGGAAAGTGCGAGGCGCGACCGTGGGGGGTCCTGGGCCCGACCTGGGCCCGTCCTGGACCCGAGACCTCCCTCCTCCCGGCTCCGGGAGAGTCTCCGTCCTGGCGAGCGCGGATTCGTATTTCTTTCGGATGTTGAGAGAGAGAGGAGGGCCCACTCCACTCCGGGGGGCCCGAAGAACCGGAGAGGGGGGAGGAAAAAGAGTGGTTTCGGTAGGTAGATTCTGGGGCCCTTGGTAACGGGTCTAGGTAGGCGCTGACGCGCGCCATCTTGGTCTCCCAGATTCCGACTGCTCATCCCATGGGCCCCGGGCCCTCGGATATTTTCGCCGCCATTTTGGGCCCCCTTCCCGTTTTTTCCGAAGACTGGAGACCGAGGTGCACTTCCGTCTCGAGCTTTGGATAGACCCGCGGGGTGCTGAGGAGTCAATCCCTTTCCTGGCTAATCCTTCTCGAGGACTCTCCAAAGGGTGCCGGCGAGTAGGCCCATTCCCCGGAGCGACTCGTTTTCTGGGCCGATCGAAGCCACGTTTTGGGGGTCCCTTGATCGAGTTTGAATAGTCCACTCCTGGGGTGGCGCTTTGGGGCCGTCCGGGCGCCGC